ACCTCTTCTTCTTCTTCTTCTTCTTCTTCTTCTTCTTCTTCTTCTTCTTCTTCTTCTTCTTCTTCTTCTTCTTCTTCTTCTTCTTCTTCTTCTTCATGCCCTGTTTTAATTCAACAACTACTCCCCCCCCCCTTCCACACACCCACTTAAGAAAAATATCAGGTTCCACTCCAAAGAATACAAACCTTATTTATTCATTGATTTTCTCACTCAATTACTCTCTTGGTCTTTCATTCCCCAAATTGCCCTGACTGCGACAAAGTGACCCTCTCTCTCTCTCTCTCTCTCTCTCTCTCTCTCTCTCTCTCTCTCTCTCTCTCTCTCTCTCCCTCTCTCTCTCCTCTCTCTCTCTCTCCTCTCTCCCTCTCTCCCATTTCCCATCTCCCCATCTCTTTCTCCCCCTTCCTTCCCTCCTTCTCTCCCTCTCTCCCTCTCTCCCTCCTCCCCCCTCTCTCTCCCCTCGCTCTCTTCTCACTCACTCACAGACAGACCGGCGAGCCGATCAACCATCCAACCCCTGGCTATGGAGCCGCCTCTCTCTCACTCACTCTCTCACTCTCTCTCACTCACTCTCTCACTCCTCCGTCCCTCCTTAGCAACAAGTGGGACTCGCGAAACGATACGCCCCTGCTACCTGCAGACTCTCCAACACGTGCCTTAAACTTTAAACTCATCATCGACCCCCGTCATGACTGTTTGGATGTACTCATGAAGTTTTAACGGACACCTCCATCCTTTGTGTCCCCCCGAGAGACCGTGATTTGACTTTGTTGGAGTGTTCGAGAACATGTGGATACAGAAAAACCATGTTGTTACGGGGATTTGAAAGGTACGGTAAATAATAAATAATTATTATTGCGTATAGTTTCGGTGCTTCTTTAAAGGGCATGAAAGGTGTTGAGCCAAAACACAAAAATTTGATAGAAATTCACAAACCTGCAGAAAAATGCAAATTTCTTCACTTTGATTATTTTGACGAGAGCCTGATTCCACCACGCTGCCTCACTTAATGATCTGTTTTATACTTTGAACTTGCAAATTATAGTTCGTTTGAATAAGAAAAAAAAACAAACAAATAAACTAAGCGACTAGTCAGTGCGTAAAATTAATTATACTTTTCAGAACATAGTTATTATATAAACTCATTAATGAAAGACGTGCAGCTCGTCCAAATTTGAGTTTGTTTAGGAAACAGACACAGACAGTTCAGTTTTGTGAGGTGACCGTTTTGAAAGGAACACTAAGACTTGTTCAGTAACAAAGTTTACGATACTTTGGAGGTGTACTTTACGAAAGACTAAGGAATCTTTCAACACACCGACGCCTTCCCCTAAAACCCCTTCTCTCCCTCCCCCCCCCTTCCTTTCCGTATTGCATGACGGTCCTTGTATGAGCTTCAACAAAAAGTAAATAGTAATTTATCCACATCAAAGGTTTGTAGTCATTTTTCAAGTTAACATTGTGGGGTTTGTTTTTTTGTTTGTTTGTTGTTGTTTTTTTACGCAAAACCCAAGAAGAGCTTGAAAAATGATAATAATAAATAGCATTTGTACTGCGCATTTCCATTTTTTTTTAAAATGCTCAATACACATTACATCAAAAAGACATCACAGCTTAAAAACTAATCGACGTGAATAAAAAGTGTTTCCCGAAAACGTATCTCTATGTCAGATAGGCCAAAGCGTGTACCTGACTACGTGATAATTAGAAATACGCTCAATTACTTAATTAGTTCGTCCTCTAAAACTATCAGTGAAACAGGTGAATCTGGAGAAATCTTTATTAAAACAAAGCTAAAAGAATTGATATATAGTCTAAATTTGTTTGTTTGTTTGTTTGTTTGTTTTAGTAGAGGTTTTACGGCGCTCGCAACTGCAAAATGTCACATGAGCGCCAAGTCTAAGTTTATCGTCACTATTTTGGGTGCGGTATTAATATTAGATCTATGGATTTCAAAAACCTACAGGCAACAGCTTACAGATGAGTGAGCGTGAAAGAAAAGATGATAATATCATCATGCTTGAGAAAAGTGGGCAAGATTATATTTAGAACGGATTTAATTGTTAGAGACATCGCAGATGAATAGGAAGTTGATTTGGTTGACAACAATATCGGATATTCGGGTTGCATAACATGTCTAGGTGCCTCTACCGAAGCATAATGAGGGAAAGAGGCCTCTTATAGATTAGAGTTGGTCTGCGGTAATAAAGAAAAGAGCACCGACAGCAGAACTGATTGAATCAAAGCAATTACACCGGAATACTTTGATCATATTCATCGGTCCCGTAGGACCGTCAATAATGTTAACACAATTATCGATGTATTCAGAACTGCTTGGTCTATTATTGCGAAGCTGTCTGTGGCGTCTGGAAGAGATTCTTCTTCATTCTTCATCTTCTTCTCCTTCTTTTTCTTTTTCTTCTTCTTCTTCTTCTTCTTCTTCTTCTTCTTCTTCTTCTTCTTCTTCTTCAAATTCAAATTCAAATTCAAATTCAAATTCAAATTCAAATTCAAACGAACTCAAATACTTCTTCAAATTCTTCTCAAATTCTTCTTCAAAATTTTCTTCAAATTCTTTGTATTTTTCAAATTCTTCTTCAGTTTCATAAAATTCTTAAAATTCTTAAAATTCTTGAAATTTCTCTTCAAATTCTTCGTTTTCAAAGTCTTCTTTTTCAAATTCTTCTTCTTCGAACTCCTGCAAGAGCTCAGAGGGTCACTGACAATAAGAAAATCTTCTTCTAACGTTGTAGGTGATCTTCACGTAGATCGACGTAGCTGTTTTAACTACCCAGACCGTTGGGTCATCTCTTAATTGTTAGACAGACAGACAGACAGCCTCGCGCGGTTTTCGATGGCACTCTTTTTTAATTATCTTTACTGACCAAGGAGTGGCTTCATTTTATTTGTTGAATTTTGCAAGGGCGTAACCAGAAAAGTTTATTTTTCTCCCATTTTAGAACCGCCGCGGGATCTTTACCGTGTCAAACTTTGACACAATTGGACTGTCTCAATTTTTCGTCTTCGCCCGAGAAGACTAGGGGCTCGATTTTACTAACCCTAGAATCTGGGAGTGTAGAAAACACGAAGGAAAACAAGAATCAGGCGGGGATCGAAATCAGGACAACAGCGTTGTCAGGCGAACTTCGTTCTTGATGAGCTACTGAGACTCCGAAAAGGACGCCCCCCCCCCACCCTTCCTTTCCCCCTCGGAAAAACATCAATAGTAATAAATAGAAAATAAATGACTTTCACCGCAAATGACACAGTTTATATCATTAAAGATGCGACCTCTTCGTCCTTGCCTGTCAGAACCACCCCTTTCCGAGCGGGGTAGGGCGTCCCATGGCAGCAGACAGACGTAGAAACTCCACAGGAGAACTTTCTCTCTCGGGAATCGAACTCACGCCTGCCTGCGTGCGACAACGAAGAGGCTAAACATTACACCACAAAACACTAGTGACTGGAGGGAAGGGAGTCCGGGGAGTTCACATCGTCATCCATTATCCCCAGCTTCTTCCACCCACTCGATAGCATTTATTTCTCGGAGCTTCGTGGCGAGTTACACCCCCACGCACACTCACTAAGACAATTCCGTACTATGTTCGTCTGCAAAGTATGACGTCACTGTACTTTTAGATATTTTTATAAGAGTTTTACAGCATTGTTCGTCTGCAAATTAAGTATGACGTCACTGTACTTTTAGATAAAAATTATTATAATAAGAGTTTTACAGTACCTGTAACAAAACAATTCGTTCATATAAGTGCCGCAGATTATAATTGTTTCGGGAAAGTATCAAACACGAAAAAGGAGGAGAGATCAAGAGGATAGATGTTTAAAAGTTTTTAAAAGGAGCAAACCACATCAGAGCACCCGCCAATCACCCACTGATGTCACTTTCTGTGAATCTGGCGGGCGCCCGTCTGTACCTGTACTTTAGTTCGCTGTTTGGTTTCGCATTGTGAGTGCTTTAATTTTTTTTTATAGTAGAGGGTTTTACGGCGCTCGCAACGGCATAAGGTCATATGTGTGTGTTCTTTATAATGCTCTCCCTATACATATCGATGCTTTCTTGTTATACGGATATTTGTTCGGAATAATGCCCAAAAACCTCGATTTTGACTTGAACCTCCGAGTCTTTTAATGTCTAACGGTGAGAACAGCAAGACACCGAGCTGCTGCAGACGGCAGAAGAGTTTAGCCTAGTACATATTATGTATATCCAATTCATAATCAAAACAGTTTAACACTTTTAAAAGTCCATACATACATTTAAAACTGAGCAACAATAAACTTTGTCTCTACATTTGGAGCTTATTTAATCTACGAGTCTCTCTTTTACAAATCTCTTTTACACACAAGACAGCCCCTGCTTAAAAAATGAGAAGTAGAGAATACAATACTTTGGAAATATTATATAACGCCACCAGACTATTGAGAAAGAAATACGCGAAGACAAGAGGTGGGGGAAAAAAGGAAGAAGGTAAGACAGCAAACAATTTGGACCGATAGAATAATGGCATGGACTAGCCATCGATAAGAGTAGGCTTCACCCACCATCCGGGCAAAATTCAAAATTAATTCCTACTGAACTGTAAATGATTAATGTGTCTCGCGCGCTCATACGACCTAATGCAGTTCAGAGCGCCGTAAAACATTACCGCAGACACATTACATTTTTTCAGTTGGTAAGAAATTTTTAATTTTGGCGGCCGAAGCCTACTGTTATCGATTTTAGACCACCAAGGGATCTTTAACGGACGAAACTTGCAAACGGGCCCTCCGAGATTTTTCGTCCTTTTCCAAGAGGGCTAGGTGTAGATCTTTCCTTCCAGAAGATCAGGGGTGTGGCTGAAAGACAGCAGTAGGAAGAAGCTAAGGAGTAGCAGTAGAAAGGCAGCAGAAAGAATCAGGAGCCCAGAGGAGGGGACAAAGGAGGGAACGAAAGCAGACGAAAGAACATTGCGAGAGAACAAGAAAGGAGGTGAAAGGAGACAAATTTAGAGAAGAAAATTTTTCGGTCGCTACCCGGATTCGAACCCGGGATCTTTTGAATGAGAGGCCAACACCTTAACCTCTAGGTCACGAGAGCCCCCCGTCACCCTCTGAGCCAGAGATGGTGCCACATTTAGAACGTACCAGGTTCTTGAACTCACGTCCTAGGTCTCCACTCTCCGAGGGCCATGTGTGGGACACTGTGACATTAAAAAGTAAAGTAGTTCCCGCATCCGATCCAGACATTGGGGATTGCCTTTGTTAGTGAGACAACTTCCTGGGCCTTCGGCATATTTGGTAGGGTGGCCAATTCCTTTCCGCGCCGCCTTTCCTTCCCCAACTCGAAGTCAGGTACCCGTTACTGCTGGGTGGGTAGGAGGGGGCGAAAAAAATCCGTGTCCGAACCGAGGCTCGAACCCGGACTTTCCACTTCGCAGACGAGCGCACAAACCGCTTCGCCACCGCACCCTCTCTGTGGTATTACGTTTCTATAGTTTTCTCATAAAGAATTGAAAAGGGTGGGGTGGGGGGGGGGAGTAGAAAAGAGGTGGTTTGTTTGTTGTTTTTTGTTTGTTTGTGGTGGGTTTTTTCGTGGGGGGGGGGGACGTTTTGTTTTGTTTTATTTTGTTTTGTTTTGTTTTGCATTGTTTTGTTACGTTTTTTGGAGGGTGATGTGCGTGGGGGAGGGGGGGGGGTGGGGTCGTAATTTACGTAATTTAAAAAAATAGGTACCAGTACGGAATATTTAAAGACATCCGGTAACATCGTTAATCCGGGTTTTCCCGGCAAGCGTGACTTTCCATCACTTTCGCGCGTGTGTCTTTGCCAGAG